CACTGAGGCTACACTGAACAGAATTTCGAACAGACACCTCTCCCGATCTTTGAGTCTCCACTTTAGGGATCGGCGTGGCTCATCAGCTTTGCTCCGTTACAGAAATTACGCCGAAATCACAGTTCCCAAGTGTTAATAGAGGCCCTATCCGGTATGGTTTTTGTGCTGGCGCAAAAGGATGTAGCCGATGAACACAGCTTAGTCAACTTTGCCGGCTGAGACTGGAGATCTTCGGAATATTTGCGCGAACCCCACGGGAAGGCCAGATACATTTTGATTCAAGCGACTAGCTGCAGGTTGTACGGCTTTGGCGTGAGAGTTTAACGCTCAGAATTTATAGCATACAGAGCGGTTTGGCAATTCTACTTCTTTTGATGACTGAAAAACACTATCGTTTCATCTTAATTTTCTTGATCGATAACAAGTTAAAACAAAGCCAGCTGTGACTTCCCAGGACTGTTTATCTCCTCCTGATTACTGCATTGGGTTGGCCTGCCGCAAAATATAAGCAATTCTCTTATTTTTTTTCACAGTTAGTTTGTTTGGCACGCATAAAGGTAACCAGCCACTGACCAGTGAATTTTTGATCTTTCTTTGATTTCACGCTGTTGCCCCCGTTTCAGCTAGGATCCTAGATTAGGCTTCTAATTAAAAACATGGTAAAAATTTCTAACGTTTATCGGTAAAGTGATTGTTTTCTTGAGTATAAATTAATCGGAACGTTCCTGAAGAATTTTGAAGACGGTAGATCAGTATTAGTATTCTTTGCGAGGTAAGCGGTTAAGACAGCGTTTGTTTGTCAGTCTCAGTCCCACCGAACCTAAGCGTTCGTGCAACAGAAATCTGAGACCAGGCTCAATTTTCGTTTCGCTTTGGATAACATTAAGGCGGGTAAGGCGAGAGAGCGGTAGCCGTTAGAGAGAGTGAATGAGAACCGCTAAAACTGGGCCTGATCTCAGGTTAGTGCAACAGGGGTCCATTTTATAAAACTTTTGCCAGTGTAATTTTGAGTGTTTTGGAGTCTGGAAACAATAGCTACGCTTGTATATTACTTGTCAAAGTACCGTAAAATTCTGGAAATAAGC